AAGTAGTGCGCGAACGAGGGCAGTGGTAGGTGTGTGTCGCTCCGCCAAGAACAGACGCGCGTGTTGAGTATCAGTGTTCATCGCGTCGCGTTAATATGTGAAAGCACTTCGATTACAAACCGAAGTAGTGGTTAGAGAAGGTGTGCTGGGAAGCACAAGGTTCGTGGTTCAATTCCAGGCTGCCCCATGTTACATGTCGAAGTGTCCCTGAGCAAGACATCTAACCTCTAATTGCTCCCCGGGCAAAAAATGTAAAGTAGAGCGCCAACAAGGGCAGTGGAGCTTCTACTACGAGGATACATTTTTGTTAATAAACCTTTTTTCACGACTAAGACGAGACTAAAACGATCTTAAAAAATAAAAACTACGACTAAATCTATTCTAACTTCTGTTAACGAGACAAAAATGTTATTGGTTGACAAAGTCACAATACTTTTCACCCATATGAGGCCTCGACTTACACGCGCCCCAAACACCCACGGACCCCAAAACACGCACGCGCCCCAAAACACGCACGGACCCCAAAACACGCACGGACCCCAAAACACGCACGGACCCCAACACACGCACGCGCCTCAAAACACGCACGCGCCCCAAAACACGCACGGACCCCAAAACACGCACGCGCCCCCAAACACGCACGCGCCCCAAAACACGCACGCGCCCCAAAACACGCACGGGCCCCAAAACACGCACGGACCCCAAAACACGCACGGACCCCAACACACGCACGCGCCCCAACACACGCACGCGCCCCAACACACGCAATCGCCCCAAAACACAACAGCAAACACACACAAATGTTTGATTTGAAGTTAATCTCGTAGAATAATGACATGAACCTACCTGTGGCGGAGTGCGCCAACAGAAAAAAACAAAGCATCACGAACATCATCCACTCGGTGCGGAGGACAAAGTAGTGCGCGAACGAGGGCAGTGGAGCTTGTGTGTCGCTCCGCCAAGAACAGACGCGCGTGTTGAGTATCAGTGTTCATCGCGTCGACTTATATGTGAAAGCACTTCGATTACAAACCGAAGTAGTGCGCTAACAAGGGCAGTGGAGCTTCTACTGTGAGGACAATTTTTTCGCTAATAAACCTTTTTTTCATGACTAAGACGAGACTAAAACGATCTTAAAAAATAAAAACTACGACTAAATCTGTTCTAATACAAATACATCCTGGACTGGTCGCCATTCACACACCTACGGGCAATTTAACGTCGCCAATCAACCTGGCCCCCTGAGCGGTGATCTTTCTTGCTCGGTGTGTCACATGTTTAGCTATTCCTCTGCCTCCCTTACGGATAATGGTACATGTAAGAAGTGTAGTATATTTGATGAATTGGAGGCGAGGCTTAGTGAGCTAGAAGCGCGGCTCCGCGCCGCGGAAGCTCCGTCGTTAGCCGCTGTAGCTAGCCAGCCCGCCCCCGTAGCCGGTGCGTCCGCTCCCGCTAGCCGTCCCCCGGCAACCCCCGAGCGGGCGGGAGGCCGGGTGACCGTCCGGAGTAAGCCCAATACTGTGGAGAAAGTTGTGTTTCTCAATAAAAATCAATAATAATTTCATGTCCCGTCCCATGTGTCCACAAGCACCTCAATACGAGTCCTGTTGAGAGGATAGCAGCTACCGATGAGCTAACATCAATAGAATGATCAATAATCACCAAGATAACTCCGAAAACAAATGAACAACAGGGCACCGGCTTATAAAGAGACTAAAACCCGGAATATAAGTCTCACAATTGAAATTCCCTCATTAAGAGGAAAGAATTAAGAGGTTTCATTTTGAACACTGGACCGTTTGCAGAGACCATCACAGCATATTCACCAAGTAATCACAGAAAACTGCTCCTTAAAGTACAACAGTTTATTAACTTCCAACAGAGAGACAACAAATACAGGCAGAAGTAAAAAGATAAATAAAAGTGGGGGAAAAAACATCACACGTAAATAAAAAGGGGACACGATCACATTCATCTTAACTGGTTACGTATGAAAGTCTTAAAAAGAGCTTAAAAAGGTTAATATATTTTAAACCATCGCACAAATAAAAAAGGGAGCTTAGATT